GCTACCAACTGTGTTTATGCCCAGGAGCCAGCAAGTCTAGGGATCAGAACATATATTTTATCAATTACCTAAGGTGGTTCTGCCTCTCTTTTAGCACAATTCTTGGCCTGCTCTCTGCTACCTTTTCATATCCTAGGTCTCTAGGGCAGCTGCCAGAAACCTTCTGAGCCAATCTTCAAGGTCCTTGACTTCTTTCTCTTGGTCTCAAGATAGACTGTTGGGTTGCTTGTGGGCATATGTTCTGCTTTCTCACGTATTCACCCTTACCTACAGCTGCCCAGACTAAAGCCCTACACAAGAGTGATGAATGTGTTCCTGCAGTCATGTAATCCACATCTTCACTGAGTATTTTCCATGTGTCAGGACCTATGTTGGACCCAGCAGCTACCTCAACATGGTGTCAGGAAACCAACCGTAGCCAGAAGAGACCTGTGATATCATAGTTCCTGTATTTGGGAATGCCACAGAGAACTAGCCTGATATACCTTCAGGGCTTATGTGTATATCCCAGTCAGACTTCAAGGGGATAATTCCTGTGGTCCCTCTGTTAGGACCCCTCACTTTCCTGTCTCCAAGGGCTTCCTGTACCTCAAACTCTGAAGCCTGTACCAGATGGAGGCAACACTCCCTCTAAGCTGGTACCCCAGGATTCCACTGAAATCCCTCCCACCCAGTTACCAGGCCTCATGAGTCAAGGCTACCTTGATTTACTCCTAGAGAGTGAACATGTGAAGGTGCAGCACTTGCCCCCACCCAGTTCAAGGGACTCATGTACTCTGGAAAGTACCTCTCACTGAGTTCCTCAGGAGTATCTCAAAATCCTAGCACTGTTGGCTAGAGGGAGGAAGGAAGAGAGAGCAGGCCAACCCTCCAAACATCATAGGTGCTCAGAAATCTTGAGCATTTATAGTGGACATGAAGTATGCTTTGATTACGGATAGGTGAGGGGTTCCTTTCACCATTGGGTCTTAGGAAAGCACTGTTGACTCAGAACACATTCCAGTCCCATTTTGTAGACCAGATCCATCAAAGGTTGATAAGTTTGCAGACCCAATATCTACTGTATACTCAGCCAGTAAGGTATGCTGAACTGTGCAAGATGAAGAGAAAGCAGATAAAATTGGAACCTTGGGACTTAATACCAGAGTGTGGTATCTTTTTTAGCATCATATATCCCAGACATGAAGCTGAAGAAGTTGGTGACCAAAAACTATCAACAGGTGCAAGGAAAATAAAGGTAAGATAGGCAAGATGGGAAAGGCAAAAGACCAAAGTAAAGGATCAGTAAAGGTGTAGCCTAACATGATGGAAACCTTTTAGAAAATATACTGTTTATTTCAGCCAAATGTCATAGAAAAAACTTTGTCCCCTACCTTCACCCAAGTCAGCAAAGGCTACTTGGGTGCTTAGAGTGCTACCACTGATAATAAATAATGACACCCTCCCCGCCTATGAAGTTTCAGAAGAGGCCTAATAGGGAGCTAGTCCTTTCACATCTAGCACATAGTAATAAGCCTTCATTACCCAAGATGTCAGTGTAGGAAACATGATGGGCAATAAAGAGACATCCGTAATCCTCCCAGCTAGGGAGTTACCAGTGCAGGCCCAGCTCAGAAAGAGAAAATTCACCCTTACCCATAAGTAACAAGGAGTTCACCACTGATTTCATAGATCAACAGAGAACAAAGAAGGTTAGGGTTAGACCACCATACTCAACAGATAGTAATGTAGTGGAATCCATCTCCTTTCCTCTACTGTGGTGATGTCAGGGTATGACAGCTAAAGCAAGGATTAAGTAAAATCTTGATCCTAATAACATCATAGAAAAGTATTCTGATTTCAATTTTAAAAATCACTCATAGCAAGATGCAGGAAGGTCTTGAGATGAATGAAAATATATAGTCAATTAATATCTACACTGATGCCATAAAATAGAAGTGTATGTCAAAAAAGTTGAAGCAGACATCATAAAAATGCTTCACTTGGCAATTAAGAACTCACTTGAAAGAAACTAAAAATATAAAGCCTTAGTAAAAAAGAGAAGACATGAAAAATAAAATGGCAATTTTAGAATTGAAAAACATAATAGCTGAAATTGAAATAAACTCAATAAGGGAATCAATGGCAGAATGCAGAGGACAGGGGAGAGTGAACTGAAGACACAACAATAGAAAGTTCTTACACTGAAAGTCTGAGAAAAGTTACACTGTGAAAAAAAATGAACAAGCTGCAGGGACCTGCAGGAGTATAAAAAAGATCTAATATCTTTATTATACGGTTTCCAGAATAAAAGGAAAAAGAGTGGGGTTTAACGAGCATTTGAAGAGCCCAGCATGGTGGTACACTCCTATAATCTCACAAACTCAGAAGACTGTGGCAGGAGGATTGCAAGTTTTTGGACATCCTCAGCAACTTACCAAGAACCTCAGCAATATAGATGCTGTATCAAAAAATAAAAATAAAAAAGGTCTGGAGATATAGGTCAGTACACCCTGGGTTCCATGCACAGAATAGAAAAACAAAGACAGACAAAGAATTTTAAAAAATGGGGCTAGGATTGTGGTTCAGTGGTAGAGTGCTTGCCCGAAACATGTGAGGAGCTGGGTTCACTTCTGGGAGACCTCTCCAGCCCCTAACCCAGAGGTAGCCATTCTTTCCCTCTTAACAAGTATCTAACTAATGCTGCCTAGCTTCAGATTCCAGGATTCAAAGGTAAGCCTTAAAGATGACCCTAGCAGCCCTGGGGATAGCACAGAGATGAGTATATACCTCCAGAGAGCCCCTGCCAGGACAGTACTGCTGACTTCACYCTGCCTTGTGTCATGATGCCATGCATGCAGACTGCCCTTAACAGCAGGYTGTGCTCACACCCCTGCTAACAGATCCGGAGATGCCCTGTGAGCAAATGCCCTGGAGACACATCCCTATGGGCACTCACGTAGCTGTCTAAAGCAATAGAAACCAAAGCACCTCCCAGGAAGCCTGCTGCAGGGGGGCAGGGCATGGTTCTGCCTATGGGAAGATAGCAGCCGGGCCCTTCCTGGAGCTGCTCAACCCACACCTGCCCTCCAGAGCATCCACTGTGGGTGCTCATTCATCTAAACAGTCAGTATGGACTGCATGACCTACTGTGTGCCAGGTACCAGGAGGACCCAACAGGGTATGCCCCATGCAGGCCCCTGAACTGGGAATCCTGGCTCCACACCACCCTGTCACACTGGTCAGGACTGTCAAGTCAGGCCCAACCTGCTGTCCAACCCCGCTTCCTTCCTGTCCCTTCTGTGRGTGTTAGTCCCAATAAATCTGTGGCTCTGCTCGCTCCCTCGCATGCTCTGCTTCCTGGACCCAATGTGACACAGCTGGTTCTGGACTTCTGCAGGTGGTAATCTGGGGTCTTGGTGCAGGATCACCCAGTATCTGCCTAGCTGGTGATGAAGACCCCACAACAGGCACGTAGGGGGTGTGCAGACAGACCCAGGCATAAGGGGGCAGCCCAGGTGCCAGACCTTTGGTGTCAGAATTTTACTGGGATGGCTACCTTGTGCAGAGGAAGCTTCTAGCAGGTGAGGACACCTAGGCACGTGTAATGCATGGGAAGGCAACTGCCAAGACAATGGAAATGATCAGTGGCGATTACATTGTTGGATGACTCCCTGTGGATTAAGGAAGGCAGAGGGCAGTTAACCTATGACTAAAAACTAAGCAGAAACACAAGCTTCTCCTCTAGGGTCATAAAGTAGCTCCCATGTCAGGCACAGTGAACTGCAGAAGTTGAATATCAAAAACACACTTTGATAAGAAGGCCGGCCTCCAAAGATGGCCGGATGTTCAACCAAGGCAACTCGGTCTTGCCAAGAGCAGAAGCACTGTGCACAGACCTGCCTGTCAAACACGGGGAGCAGGGACAAGCAGAAGATCCCAAATGTCAGACTCCCCAAATGCCTCTGAAACTTGTGAGCCTACAGTATGCCTCACCCACCCCAAGCCATTCCCAAGGGAGTTATAGGAATCTTTTCCCCCACAGCAGACCTCCTTCCTAGGAGCTGTCCTCACTGTATCTGGCTGGCAGGGAGGGTGTCCAACCATCCCAGCTGGCTGTGGGGCCTGCAGTATTACAACCAGGAGAGGGCTCAGAATAGCAGGATGGGGCCAACCTGCTGCCAGATGTCTGAGCAGAGTTAGGACAGTACAGCACAACACGGACAGGGCTGCTGGGCCTGATAAGGGAGACAAAGAAGACACCTATAGATGAAGGAACAGCACACACCTGCACCTATGGCCAGTCGGAGTCCCTAGAGGACAGGACACTAAGGGAGCCTGACCAGGGGTTCTGAAAACTCAGATAAGTATTCCCTAATTAGACACATAACCTAAAGCCCTGGCAAGGCCCCTAGGATGGTGCAAACTCACTACTGGGATGGATCCTAGAAACCAGGAAACACCACTGTTCTAGGAAGAACAGCCTTGAAAGGCTAGCAGGGCCATGGCAGACAGTAAAAAAAAGAAGGGAGACAAGGGTGAAAAGAGTGGGTCTGCTGGAACTGGACAGATCAGGWGAAGCCAGAAGACTTCCCAGGGGAGTATGTGCCCCAGAGGGCTCAGAAGACACATCCTGTACCAAGAGGTTCAGGGATGTGCTGAAGAAAGGACACTAGCATCACTCAGAAGCTTGGCAGTTGCTCCTCTACAGGCCAACCCCAAGGGAGCCTCGTATAGAACAAGGCTCCCAGGGAAAAGCCCAATAGCCTGCCACCCTCTCCTCCTCTTTCTTAGCCGCAGAGAGGTTGGGGCAGCACTGAACCACACTGAGCACACAGAAGCTGAGCTGAGGACTACACATCCTCCACAGTTGAGAGCAATGGAGACCACCAGCACAAGCCAGCCTCCCTTAGAGCACAGCAAAATCACAACCAACACGGTACAGCTCAAGGTGGACACTCAAAGGGAGCAAGGGTGAGTGAGCAGGAGGCTGAGGGCAGCCATGCCAACAAACCACTCACCTTGCCTGTTCAGTTCCTGCCCCAGTCCAGCTTCCAGAACTGGAACACATTGAATAACATGGTGGCCAGGTCCCCAGGAAGGAAGCTGCAGTACCATGGCAAGTAGATGCTGATGTTCCCCCAGCCCTGCCTGAAGGCAACAATGGCTATGTGCTGGGTCACTGAACAGCAGGGAAATGGGAATAACCAGAGAAGGCTCTTGCACACAGTGTCCCATGGGAGTCATATCTGGAGTCTCAATAAGCTCCATGGGAAAGGTGGCCTCAGGAAGAACTGCTGTGCTTACCTAACTAGACACAGAGGATGTTGCTGGATCCAAAGTGGGATGATCCATTCCCTGAGGATTTGACTGCTGTGAGGTCTTGAACATGGAGGGGTGGAATTCACAATGGGCTGCAGAGCTACTGCCATATCGGGTCAATTTCCTGAGGAACCTTTCAGAATATGGGCGAACACTTACCATAATAATAAAAAAAAAAAGTAGGAGGAAAAATGCAATACAGCATGTGCTCAATTGAATAACCAAACACTGTATAGGAGAAAAAGCAAGAAAAATAAATGTTCCTGCCTCTCAGAAATGACCTCAGGACCGTTCTTTGCTTCTGATTCTCATACACGTTTCTGTACTTTGCAAAGTTGCCACAGTGAGYGTGGAGGCACATGTCAGCAGAATGGGTCTTCCGTAGAGAGCCCACTGATCCCAAAACTCCATCCTAGTAACCATGGAGAGGAGTTGACAACTTGTCTTCTGGCATCACCCTCCAATCATGTAAACAAATAATCTGGATTTGTCACTAGGCCATGGCATGACATTCCACCCCTCCCCAGCTTTGGAGGGCACATCACATGGCTCAGTGCTTGTTTGCATAAAGACTGAACTATTAGGAGAGTAAAGAACAGAGTGTGTCAGGGCCAGGCACAGTGCTACATGTCTGTAATCCAAGCTACTTGAAAGGCTGAGGCAAGAGGATCACAAGTCCAAGGCCAGCGTTAGTGAGACCTTGTCTCAAAATGACAAATAAAAAAGGCTGGGGATGAAGGTCACTGGAAGAGCATCCCTGGGTTAAATATCCAGTACACACACACACACACACACACACACACAAAAAAGTATAGTCTGATTAAATTAAAAGCTGCTAATAATGTTTTGGCACCATAAATTCACAGAAACACACAAAGGTCATACTTGGCTCTTTACTATCTGCATCTGTTTTAGTTTGAATCTGGAATAGCCCTCAAAGGCTCCTGTGCTGAAGGCTTGGTCTGGAGAAGAAAGCAGAGCTTGTGGAGGAGACTCAATCCTGATGCCAGGAGTTGAGCAAAGCTCAGTGTTAGTGGGGAGTAGACAAGGAGAAGGTGCTTGAGAAGGAGCAGAGGAAGGAACCCCAAAAGGTTCCACATATCTGCAGGCTACTGCTGGCCTGGAGGCTCTGGAGCCCCTGCAAGGAAAACACAGTGGAAGGAGCAAGTGAGATGGGTCTGGGGAGGGGAGGGCACACCTGACCCGTGATGGCCAGAGAAGGTGGGAGTGAGTCCCCATCAGGATATGGTCCATGAGAGGAGACAGGGAGCCGCTGGTGAAGAGAATGTGATCAGGAGGTCAGACATCAGACCATTTCCAGGGCTGCCATTGACTTCTTATGTGTAATGAAAATCAAGGTGGAAAAGCATCCTTGTCCTTTTCTCTGTGGCAGCCAAAGACCTCCCCACGCGAAACCTAGTGAGGTGATGCTTCCAAGGCCCCACTGCTGCAGCAGAGAGCTGGACTTGCAGCTGCTACCCTGGGACTTCACCTCCTGATCAGACAACAGATCAGGCCTCTGCTGGGCACTCTTATGCCCAGGGAGATGGTGCATTAATCTGTGAACTGCACCCCACTTCTCAGCATATCCGAGAGCAAGGAACAGCCCAAAGAGTCAGAAACAGGAGCGCTTACATTATGTCCCCATGGAGTCCCCCACTAGCAGCCATATGCTATGAGAATACAGCTCCTTAGGCAAGTTCCAGCTCATCAAACAATAGGGGCTAAGAACAGGAATGGCACACATTCATGGGACCCTCACTTAGATTCCAAACAGCTCTGAGGAGATGCTGTGGTGCTAGGCAGGGGCTGGAACGATTTGTGGAGGAAAGAGACCTGGAGGGGACACCTCCTAGGTGGGAGTCCCATGTGAACTTTAAAGCTCCTTGAGCCCTGAGGCCTCCCTCATGTGAACAAGGTACCCTCTCCCACTCATTTTGCCTCCAGCTTTCCTGTTTTCTTGAGCTTCTCCAGGAAAAGTGTAAGTACCTCTCACTGGGAGAGACCACACCTCTGTCCATCCAATGTTTACTAAGCAGCTACTATGCCCRGCACCCAGCTTACAGAAAGGAGTAAAAGCGGCCTGGCCTTCCAGGAACTTAGAGATGCTGCTGTGGCCACAGACTCCGGGAGAGCAATTGCAGCTCTGGGTTACAAGGACCTAATGCTTGGAGCATGGGTCTACCAGAAGGAAGGCGACCAGAAATAGGATACTTGATTATGAAACACTGAAGGTGAACTGAAAGTTGTGCTTTGGAGGATAGGTTGTCAGGATAAGAGGGGATGGACATTCTATTCTGTACGAACCATAGCTTCAAAGCAAGGGGTCCTGTGGAACAGGTTGGGTCAGGGACCAGGTACCCCAAAGCACCCTTTGACTCTGGCCAGTGTTAGTCCAGAAAAGGGGAGAGAGCTCAGGCTGAAACTTGAGGCGCCTGCACCCCAACAGGAGAAGGCTTGGCAGGTTATCAGTAGGGAACTGATTTGCAAGGTAGAGAGTGAAGGGTACTGTGTGGAGGACCAACAGAAAACACACAACACAGGACTCTAGGCCAGTCAGGAAAATCAGGGAATAGCACAGACACCAGAGAATGTGGCCTGACCTCAGCAGGTAGCAAAGGGAACAAAGGAAGAGGAATCTGTCTTCTTACATGTAAGGTAGAGGCAGGGACCTAGAACTTGGCTCTCCAGTCACTGGGCAGGACAGTGTAAGGAAGCATGGTATCCTGAGGGAAGGCTGTGGTGTGAAAGAGGAAAAGCCAGGTTGGCACGAAGTTGGGATGTGGTTTTGGCAACTTAGGTCTGAGGGGCAGCAGCACATAGGGTGGTGCTATTCGGCTCCCTTCAAAACAAAAGATGGTTATTCCCTGCCTCACTGGCAGGAACCAACAATGCATCTAGGGGAAAGGAAAGCTGTGGGGGGTTCATCCCTGTGGTGCAAGCCTCAGCCCCGAATTCTGTGGACACAGGCAGGCGTCTCTCTTCTCCCAGTTGCTATTCCTCTGGAGTGCACCCTAAAGTACACACTCAGGGTTCGGTTAGGTCCATGAGGACCCTGGTTTGGCCATTTTCCCCTCTTGACTAAGCTTCCTCCTCAGTTCTGCCCTGTGCCTCTGGCAGCTCCTCCCACAGCTCTGTGGGCTCYTCCCCCAACTTGACCACAGGTCCCCCCTCCCTGGTGCAGCACTAGGTCTTTCCCCAGCTCTCTCCAAAGATCTGCCTGCATCTCTGCACCAGCTCCTTCCAGAGTGCTTGAGCACTCAGCAACTTCCCCAATTCTTAGCCACAGCTCTGCCTATTCGCTATAATCAGCATCTCCTCAGCCACATCTGCCCCCAGTTCCGCCCTCCTCCCCCCAGTTCTGTGCTAGCTCCTAGCTCACCTTTCTCACAAGTCACCCCGTTCTTGCATAGTTACTTCTCCCCCAGCTCTTTCCTATAAAGACAACCTCAGAGACAGGTCAGGTGGCATCCACCTGTAATTCCAGTGGCTTGGGATCCTGAGGCAGGATGGCGAGTTCATCAGGCTCAGAAACCTAGTGAAGCCCTAAGCAACTCAGTGAGAACCTGTCTCCATATAAAATATTAAAAAGGGTGGGGGGCTGGGCAGGGGCTGGCTTGTGGCTCAGCGATAGAGTGCCCCTGGGTTCAATCCCTAATACCAAAAAAAAAAAAGAAGAAGAAAGAAAGACAACCACAACTCTTTCCCATAAAACTCTGTGCTCTTCCCTTGCCCCTCCCACAACCTCCCACAAAGCTGCCCCCTATCCTGCTCCAGTAAGGGCTCATAGACCCACCCAGCTCTTCCCACACTCCCCCCCCCAATTCCTAACCCAGCTCTCACACCTGTGCCCAGCTCCTCTCATAGCCATGCTCCTCATCTGAAATCTTACCACTCATAAGCCCTTCCCTAGTCCTCCCATAAATCCACCCCACTCTCCTTGGGTTTCTCAACCCCACCCACAACTCCTGCATAGTAACTCACAGCCCTGCCCTGCTCCCAAGTTCCAACTCCTGCCCCTGAACCTAGCCCACAACTACTCCTACCTTTGCATTTGTGGCCCCACCCCGATTCCTACCTGAGTAATAATAGCCCTACCCAGCTCCACCTTTTGTTGTTGTTGTTGTTGTTGTTGTTGTGTTTTGGTACCAGGGACTGAAATCAGAGGCACTCAATCACTGAGCCACATTCCCAGCCAAATTTTGCATTTGTAGAGACAGAGACTCACTGAGTTGCATAGCCCCTAGCTGTTGCTGGCTATGAAGTCGTGATCCTCCCAACTCAGCCTCCAGAGCCACTGGGATTACAGGTCTGCACCCAGGCCAGCTCCAACACTTCTCCCTCAGCCCAGTCCCAACAGGAACTCAGGAACTCAGCACTCAGCCCCACCCAGCCACCTCCTACAGAGGCCAGCTCTCAAACAGTACATAACTCCTTGAGCCCCGCCCTGCTCCTCCCACAGGTGTGCTCCCACACTATCTCATTACTCACAGCCCCGCCCCAACTTCTACCTTAGTCCAGAGCTCCATCCTCAACTCCTTCGCACCACCCCTCCCAATTCCTCTCTCATTCCACGTAGCCCCGCCCAACTCTATCCGCAGACCTGCCTCCAACACCTACTTCACTCCCTGCAGCCCCGCTGCCAACTCCCGCCCTACAACTCACGGTCCCGCCCAGCTTCTCCCACATCCGGTCCCCACCCCTCCTCACCCCGCCCACCCTGCTCCACCTGCCGGCCCGCCTGGCTCCACCTGCAGTCCCAAACCCACCTCACTCCTCGCAGCCACGCCCCCAACAGCTACGTATTCCTCATAGGCCCGCCCCAACTCCTACCTCCTCGCGGCCCTGGGCTTGGCTACACGTTTCCCCAACCCCGCCCAGAACTCTCACTCCTCACAGCCAAGCCCAACTCCACCCGCAGCCCCCGCTAACACGCCCCCAACGCTTACGTCACGCCAAGCCCCGCCCCTAACTTTCTCATTCCCCGCAGGCCCGCCACCAACTTCCACCTCACTCCTCACAGCCCTGCCCAAAACCTCTAGGTCTTGCAGCCTCGGGAAACTCCACCTTGCAACCCTGCCCGGAACACCCACCCCACTGCTCTGGGCCCAGCACACCTCCACCCCCATCTCTTCCCGCAAACAGGCCCGCAACTCCTCCCTCACTCCTGAAAGCCCCGCTCCCAAATACCACCTCATTCTTGCAGGCCCGCCCCAACTCCTACCTCACTCCTTGCAGTCCCGCCAAGCTCCTCTGGACAAGCCCACCCAGAGCTCCCATCTCACTCCTTGCTGTCAGGCCCCCAGAGCCTATGTCACTCATGGAAACACCGCCCCCAACTCCTACCTAAGCCCCGCCGAGCTCTTCTGGATAAACCCGCCCACAGCCCCTCTCTCACTCCTCACGGCCCAGAACAGCTCCGCCCGCAGCCCCGCCCAGCTCCTCCCACGGACATGCCTCCAACGCCTACGTCACTCCTCCCGCCACGCCCCCAACTCCTTCTCATTCCTTACAGCCCCGCCCCAACTCCTACCTCACTCCCAGAAGCCTAGCTCAGCTACCCTGGCGGCCCCCCGCGCCCCCAGCTTATACCTCAGCAATGCCCCCCCCCTTCCTACCTCCATACTCAGCCCGCCCAAAACTCCTACCTTAGCACTCTCTCATGGCTGGCCTTTCTCCTCTCTAAGCTCCAACCCTCCCCGCAGCACCGTCCCTAACGTTCTCTGAGGCTGGCCTCATTCCAACCTTTCCTTTTACTCCCGTGGGTCCTTTTCTAACTCTACTCCCTCTTCCTGGTCACGGGACTGCCGAGCTCTGATCCTGGTGGGATGGGCCAGGGCGTCAGGGCCTGATCCTGGTGGGATGGGCCAGGGCGTCAGAGTCCCAACAGCATTTTCTCCCTGCCGCTTGGGGAGGAAGTGCGTGCTGGCATGAGTGCGTGATTACGTACGCGCGTGGCTCCCTGTCCGTGGCACGTGGCTACAGGCGGTCGGCCTGATTGGCTGGGTACAAACAAGCTGCGAACCGACGCGAGTTGTACGTAATCACGTGTGGGCGTGCTTGCATGCGTGGGTGGGTGGGTGGGTGCGTGCCTGCCTGTGCTCCTGCTGGAAGGGACTTTGGGGGCTGGGCTAAGGCGTTAATGCCTGCGAGCCCCTGTCCACAACCTAAGGTGTCCCAGAGGCGGCAGCAGCGCAGCCCCAACACCGGCCCAGCGCTCTCCTGGGCCTCATCGTCTCCTCACCAGCCGGCGGAGCCCTTCCCAGGGCTGGTGGCCTCTCCTGGGCCGCGGTGGACTGTCCGGTCCGATGGTCGCAGGTCGGAGTTGGACCAGTGCCAGTGAGTCCAGAGTCCTGAGACTGCCCGCGACCTAAGAGAGCCAGGATCACCCCTGCGGGCGCCTGTGTGCTCCTCGCTTCTCCTAAGGTGCCTCTGGACTGGGGTTTCCCTGGAAGTGGGACTCAAAACCCATGCATTGGAGCCCTCCTCAGCTCCTACTCCGACAGGCTTCACGCCCTGTCTTCGGCCAAGTGCGTGTTTGTGATGTGCTTCTGCCAGCACACAGCTAGTGTGCTGCTCCACTCACACCTGCCCCACCTTACCTTGAGCTGTGTGGACTCCCTGAGACCCCAGGCGATGAGATGTTCAGCTCTGCACTGGGGCGCTGTGCCCTGTGAGGTCTGCCCAGAATTAAAGTGAGGGTGATGTGATTTGGGGCCTCCAAACCTTTGCCCTGAGACCATGTGAGGAGAGGTGCCAGTTTTCTGCTCTCGGATCCTGGGTCCTGGCCTAAGAGCAGGGCTCCTTTCCCGAACTGACTTCCCACCCACCTAACTGATACATCSTGTGATCCTTGACCCAGACGGGACTAGCCGCACTGTCGTGGGCATCGGTAGCAGACCCAAGCTCTGGTGAGGTGCACATGTGTGTTCCCCTTGAAACATGCCCTCCCAGGTAGTCCTGGTCTTTGGTGCTCGCTGAGTAGGAAAGCCTTCTGGTGCCACTATACAGCATTGCTGTCTAATCCTTCACCTGACCTCCTTATCTCCTGTCCTTGTGCAGGTGAAGAAGCTGAGACAAGCAGAATGGGGCTTCCCCCTCAAGCCCCAGGCAGGAGGGGGCTCAACCCCCTGATTGCCTTTAGTTGTCACTAGGGAGTCCACCCACGCAGGTCATGTTTCAGAGTTGTGGTTTTGTGGTGTCCATGAGGAAGGTGTCAGCTCAGAAGCTGAGTGGTGGGAACTAGGCAGACCTTCACCACTCTGGTCACATATCTCAGTAGAGGAGATAGAAATGGCGAGGCCTGGTGAGAGGCATTCTGCCTCCCTCATAAGTCATGAGGATGGGGGATCCTTTGTCACCCATCAGCAGGATGATGATGCTGTGGGCTGTGTGTGGGAGAATGGCACCACTGGTTGGGTGAGTCTTTGTGGAAGGCCCCTTGCTGGCGTATTTCAGCATCTTTGATGTGTATGCCAACAAGTTTGTGACAAAGAATATCAATTCTAGTGGCAGAAAGTGGGAAGCAGCTTCTAACTATCCATCAGTAGAGCAATGCGTGATCGTGTAAATTATGGGACCGCCAAGAGTGGGATGCCATCCAGAGGACGAATAATGACGCAGATCCAGAGGTACAGAGAGGAAGAATGTGCTTGAAGTGCTATTGAATGGAAAGGTCTGGCCCTGCTTTGTGGAGATGTGTGGTTGGGGAACACCTCACACCTATCTATTATTTTGCCAAGGTAGCCATAAGAAAGTGCCACAAATTGGGTGACTTAAGTAACAGGAAGATATCCCCACACATTTCTGGAGGCTGGAATGTGAAACCAAAGTGTCAGGGGCCTCTGCGTCTTCTGTGGTCCCTTGGAGAATCTGCTCTATCCCTCTCCCAGCTTCTGGCTGTCGGTTGGCAGTCTCCGGTGTTCCTTGACTTGAGGAAGCATCACCCCAATCTCTGCCTTCATCTTCTCATGGTGTTTTCCCTCTGTGTATGCACACCTCTAAATTCCCCAGTTTTGTAAGGACACTATCTATACTGGATGGGCGCCACCCTAGACAGTTGAATTTTACTGGATTCCATTTGTAAAACATCCATGTTTATATTTATGGTTGTGGTGTGAGGTGCTGGGGGTAAAGCCCTTCAAGATAGGGTTTCTAAGGGGACACAAGGAAACCCTGAGGACCCAACAAAGGCCCTGGGGTAGGAACTGGCCCTGGGATGGAAGACAGGCCTGTGCAGCAGCAGCAGCAGCAGCAGCAGGGAGGTGGATGAAGGGGAAAGAGGGCTGATGGCAGGGGCAAGGAACCAGATCAGGAGGGAGCTTGTGGGCCTGGTGAGAAGTGTCCGTTCTGCCCTGGTTGGGCAGGAAACCTTGGAAGGTTTCAGCAGAGGAGTGCCATGATGTGGTTGCCCCTGAATCGGGGTYGCTCTGACTGCAGCTTGGATGCCAGAGAGCAGTGCCACATGCTGAGCAGCGATGAGGATACTGCTTGAGAAGCCAGCAGGTGGTCGGAGATTGGACCGGGATGGTGGYCATGTAGACCGACCATGGCATGGCATGAGATTGGGGATATGGCCATGGGACATAGGTGGTGGATGAGGGAAAGACAGAGTGGAAGGAGAGCTCTAGGTCTGGGGCAGAGATATGGTATAGGTGGTGACCCCACCTACAGATGTGGAAGGGAGGTGGATTTGGTGTGCAGGGGTTGGGTCCTCAGTCTGTTGCCCTGACCAGGAAAGGCTGAGGCTAAGAAAGTTTGGCCAGTGGGCCATGTAGTAGAGGGGCCAGCAAGCACTCTGGAAGCCTGGGAAGGAGTTGGAAAGGGGATGGTCAGCCAGACCTGGGCTGCTGAGGGTCACGTGAGGTGAAGACAGAACTAGCCAAACCCATATTCAGTGCCTGTGGGATACCAGATACCCAAAGGGGAGGGTTCATGTAGCGAGGGCTTGAGTTCAGTGAGGTGAGGAGGGAGATGTAGAGAGCTTTGCTGAGGTCTCTGCTGTGCAGAGTTGTCGCGGAGGGAGACAGAAGCTAGAGGAACATCCTTCTCGTGATGCAGCATGTGCGGGCACACCTCTGTGTGCAGAGGAGTCCTTTTGTGTCGGGGGGCGGGGAGTAGTTTTCCTGAGTGAGAGCACAGAGGCAGGGCCCAGGCCCTGGAGTGAGGTAGAGAAAGGATGGCTTGTTAGGGGAAGCCCAGCCCTAGAAGGAGGAGGAAGGCAGAAGATCTGGCACAGAAAGGGAGGCTGTGGGTTGGTGGAGGAATGAGTGCCAGGCTTCTTTTGTCCTGATGGGGCCTTGTCTTTGGAGGGTGGGCGTGTTTCCTTAAAACCATAGGAGATACTTGGGGTGAAGTGGATGGGCTTGAAGAGGGTACAGGGAGGCACTAGGCAGAGTGGAGGGGGCAGCTCATGGGTAAAGGGCAGAGGCGCCAGAGGACAGGACCCCAGGCTTGATGTTGCTGCCGCTACCAAGAGTAGCCACCATTTGGGACTGTCCTACTAGGGGCTCCCAGCACCTGGCCTGCCCTCACAGCMCCAAGGAAGCCGAGGCGGCATGACCTTCAAAGAGTGAGCTGAGGTTCTGCCCTCAAGCCCTGGTGGCTGCCCTGATGAGGGCCTGGGCTTCTCACTGAGCATAGCACAGGCTTCCTGTGGAAGGGGTCCGTSGTCTCCTGAGGTACATGCATAAAAAGGTGAGGGCCTCGTCAGGGAGTGCCTGAGGTCAGTCTGTTCCACTGTGGGCAGTTGCTTCGTCTTTCAGCTCCTCCTCCTCTCAGCCATAGAGGGGGCCCAGCAAGTGCTACTGGGCCTGCTGGGTCATTTGAGGATTAAATTCCGTCTGAGCATTCCAGGGCCGGGCACACGGAAGGTGTATGCACACTGGGTAATTGTTCTTATTCTCAGGATTCCTTTGTCTTGGCTCAGCTGGGTGGGGAATGGGGCTCGAGGGGCATGGCACCCGAGTGGGTCTGGAGTAGATACTGACAGGCCGCTTGACATCACAGGGAGTTCTGACATAGGAATCGATAAATGTTGGACACCCAGGAATCGTGCGCAGCAGCCTGCAGTGGTGGGAGCCAGACACTGAGGGACGGCAGTGCTTGTGGTGGCGTGGCCAGGTGCCGAGAGTGGTGTTGGGGCGATGTGGGCAGGCAGGAGAAGAGAGATCCAGGCCTGTTCCTCTGTGCCAAAGGCAGCCCACTCAGGGTGAAGCCCCAAGTAGGCCAAAGGGGGCCTCCCTCCTCTGTTTTCACCCAGGACATGGTGACTCCGGACATGCTACTGACCACACACTGCCCTGCCYGTGCCTTTCTCTAGCTGTTGCCATCCTACTCCACGTGCTCGCCAAAGACGCCACAGGATGGAACCGAATCATCCAAACCCCAGCACCCTGCCTTGAGCCCATGGTGGAGCAGGGCCTCAGTGACTGTGTGGTGACAGGTAGAAGCAGCGAGCCCTCAAGGTCAGTGCGGTTTCAGGGCCCGGGGGAAGGACGACTTTGCTGGCTGTGAGCCCAAAGGGAAGAAGATGAAGTTTTCCTGCCTGTCCTTCCGGCAGCCTTATGCCGGTTTTGTCTTGAATGGAGTCAAGACCCTGGAAACGCGGTGGCATCCCCTGCTGAAGAGCCACCAGAACTGCACCATTGCCATCCACATTGCTCAGAGGGACTGGGAAGACAGCTCCTGGAGGGAGCTGCTGGTGGAGAGGCTGCAGATGAGCCCTGGGCAGATCCAGGCCTTACTCTGGGAAGGGGAGAAGTTTGGCCGAGGAGTGATAGCTGGTAAGTGGGGGCATGCCGACCAGGGTGCAGAGAGCTCCAGATTTGCCCCCCGGATGGTGCTCTGAGGTTCATGGCTTCTGCTCTGTTTTCCCTTGAACTGGTGGGCACGTTTGCTGCAGTTTCCCTGAGCAGCACAGCTTTGGAGGGGCCGCAAGAGGCACTGGGCTGGGGGTCTGCGGGCCTGGCTGCACACAACCTTGGTAAATCACCTCTCTCCCCTGGGCTGCAGTTGCTATTTGTGATCTGAGAGGTGTCTGTCTGTGGCACGTGGCCACTGAGTGCATGCCTCCAAGTCCAGAAGGGGCAGCACTGCATGCCGTTCCAGTTGAGTGGCCTCTAGAGTGAGGCTGCCTTCCCGGCTTCATGTGCCTGCCACACCCGTGATGTTCCCTGGGCGCGTGCCCAACCTCTCAGCTGTCCAGGTCCCGCGTTGGCACCTGCCACCTGGTGACCTCCTGAGGCGTCCCGTTGGCAGTGGTTACCCCTGCAGGCACGGTGCCCTTCTGATATGTAACTGCCACCTCAGCAGTCTTATGGGGCCCACCCRTCCCTTGTGCATCCTCAGTGAGGACAAGGCTCTTTCCTATTCATGTCACCCTGGATTTCATGAACAGAGTGTGGCAGGTCACCAGTGTTGAGTGGGAAAGACTCAACTTGCCTCTAGTCTTTTCAGTGATATTTTGGGCTCCAGCAGTGTGCCTTTCAGTCACCCTGTCGTCACACGGCAGGCCTTGGATTATGGAAGGGAAAGCCTTCTGTGTGTTTTCTCTTTGGGCACAGGGCTCGTGGACATCGGAGAAACGTCGCAGTACCCGGAAAACTTAGCTCCCGACGAGGTTGTGGAACTGGAAAATCAAGCTGTTCTTACCAACCTGCGGCAGAAGTATCTGACAGTGGTTTCAAACCCCAGGTGGTTACTGGAGCCTGTACCCCAGAAAGGGGGGAAGGATGTGTTTGAGGTGGACATCCCGGAACATCTGATCCCCGTGGCACACAAGGTGTGACCGCTGTGGGCTCCAGAGAGGAAAGTTGTTGAGACACCCAGTAAATCATGAAACAGACCCATGAAAATCAGGTTAGGTGTGAATCGCCACAGCCCTCAGCACTGCTCGTGGACACAGATATTGCTATGCTCACTAGAAGGGAACGGGGGAGGCAGACTTTCCCTGGGCAGTGCCTCCTTGGGCTCATTGAGATCATGTGTGGTACCTTGACCTTCAGGGGACAGGCAAGGCCACCAGGAAATGTCTTGGCATTGCCCCTAATTTTGGTCCAGCTACTTTCTAGATTGTGCAAATAAATGTCCAGATGGTAACTGTTTAGTGCTTGGGGCACCCTTGTGGGTTTTCCCAGCTCTTTCTTTGAGTCAGAGCTCTGGGGTGTATGAAGAGCACCCAGGGGCATGGTGGGMAGTCTGGGACCTGGCACTGAATCCTGCTGGAGAATGACCAGCAGTTCATGGCCCAGTGCATCCCAGGTGAAGAGAACATTGGACTTGGAGCAGCCATCTGTTCCCTCTTGTCATTCTCACACTGTGGGAAAAGTGTCCCTGGGTTCTGCATGGATGTCGTGCAGCTATTTCCTTCCCAAGGAGAGGATCCTAAATACTGCTGTGATTGAGTCAGGTCGACTTTTGTAGAGACACGTGTGCTGTTTATTTTGTAGCAATCTTTGGTGACTTTGTAGCACAGTCTGTAGTGGTAGTTATCTGTGGGGACCAGGGGCTCCCCCCACCCTCATGGAGACCGGCATGGCCTGACTCTCGTGAGGCAGGATATAGTACCGTCCATCCCCTCCCAGATGGGAGCCTGATTTTAGGCCTGCAAAGAAGCCCACTGTGTGTGGGGAGACTTCCTGGCAACTCCGGGGTGGGGTTGCCCTGTCAGGAAGGAAATCTCCTGCGTTGAGATACCTGAGTTGTGTGAGGTGCTTCCCAGGTCAGGAGCCAGGCTCTTCTGTCTTCTGAGCAGCAGGCCATTCAGGGACCAGATCTTGCTGAGCTCACACTCACCATTGATTGCCCAGCCAGGTCCTCCGCTGGGGGCGTGGAACAGCTGCTGCTTCCAAAGGAAAGGGGTTAGGGGGAACCTAAGCAGCACCAGCCACCACATTGTGCAAGAGTAGCACGGGAGGTTACAAAGAACAGGACTCACGACTCTTCTTTAGATCATTTATTTACCCCTTCAGAGTTTTGTTTTCCTCTGTCAAGACCAAAAGTGGGTTCAACATTAGAAAATGTTGACTTTTATCATTGGTGCTGCGTGGGCTGAGTTCAAGGACCTGTGTTGTCCTTGAACTGCTCACAGAGTGCACATTTGTAATCTGAGGAGCCCTCCTGCACCTCCTCCTCATTGTCATCCTCCTCGCCCTGGCCTTGGCCTTCACCTTCACCATCCTCCGGGGGCTCCCTTGGGGACATGGCTGAGAGGGCGGCCAGCAGGATGGAATAACAAGTGTTGTACAAAGACATGACTGAACAATAATCAGGGTAACCCTGGGGGCTTCCGGGCACTTCCCCCTCGCCTTCCATTCCGGCAGTAGCTTGGGAGGAAGGTGTGCCGTCTTCATCCCCATCGGGGCCACTTGGCTCCTGCGGGAGCTGGTTTTCCAGGGGTTGTTCAGAGACACTGCTCATCGCCCACACCCCAGAGGGCATGAAGGGCTGTGTGCCTCTGGGCCCYTGGTGGTCCAGGGCTTCCCTCTGGGGCAGCTCGTGCTCTGCCTTGACCTCATGGTGGAAGCGTGGGGAGCGTCTGGTAGGGACCAGCTTCTTTTTCTTGGCAGACGACGCGCCGCGCTCTCGCCCAGCCGGGTTCTTCAGTGGCGTTGGTATGCAGGTCCCACGCTGAGCAGAGCTTCTCGCTTCTCCTTTTTTACAGATGTTTTCCAGGAGCCCTGGCTTGTCCTTCTGGAAATTGGAGTTGCGGTAGATCTGAAACAAAAGGAAAAGTTTTAGCCTTCCTGGGGTAAAGGGTGCCTTGCTCCGCCCACCCCCACCCAGAATCCTAATGGACTTGGTTTGTAATGGAGGAAGTCATTTTCAAGTCCCTGGCCAGTGTGGCCGCCCTTCCTGCGTGACCCCACTAAAGAAAATTCATAGATCAAGGGGGTCAAACACGTGCATGACAGTAACTGGCCTCTCAGCCCTTTTTTTCTTGCCTTCAGATTATCTCTAAAGGGCTGTCGCTTAACATGAAATGCTGATTGTTCATCTTTCCATAGGTGATCTACCACACTAGACCAGTGATCCTTGGGAATGAGCCCTGTGCAGTGGGATTCATCTGGGGGCGCTAGGAAGGCATTCAAGAAACAGGTGACAGGAGTACTTTTCTACTTTACCATCATTCTCTTCTTCCCCCGAGAGTAAGCCGATGCATCTTTTGGGCGGATCTTGCTGAATCCATAGAGGTTCAGCTGGCGAATGAAATTCTTCAGGCTGTCAGTTTCAAAAATCCTCTCTGCACCCCTCCGGCCAAGGACCTCTCTCTGGAAAAGGTCAGCCTCGATGACCATGATGTCTCCTTCGCCACCCCAGCACACAGACCTGAAGGTGTCATCCTCCACTATTGCCCAAAGCTTTCTGGGGAAGGAGAGCCTGAGAAGGTTCTCAGTGCCTTCCTCGCTGGTCACCGGCCGGCTAGGTTCTTCTGGTGGCTGGCTCCTACCTTCTGGCGGCTGGCTCCTACCTTCTGGCAGCTGGCTCGGTTCTTCTGGCGGCTGGCTCGGTTCTTCCAGTGGCTGGCTCTCTTGGGAGCCGGGATCTTGGCTCAGGGCTCGGTCACCATACCGGTCCAAACCCTGTCCTGAATCCACCTTGGGATCAGGTGGAGGATGAGATAGGGGCTTGCTCGCTGGCTCTTCGCTGGCCAACGAGGCCACCTGGACTTCAGAGTGCTCTTTGACACACTCACTGGCCATGGCGCTACACTATCAGGAGCATTTCCTACCCAAGACTGGTGTAGACTTCCTAGTGAGTCTAAAGTGCCTTCGTCCAGGGAAGAGGCTCTATAAATACAGTCCGAGAAGTTCTAGAGCCTCGTAGCAAGGCAACTAGGCACTGACATCACCGTCCTCTTTATTTGTCATGCGATGTCACAGAGCTGACAGGAAGCCAGGCTGGAGGGGGAGTGCTGGCTGAGGGTAGAGGAGGGGAGGGGCGGGGGGGGGGGCAGCTTCCCTTTGCTCAAAGTGTACAAAGGTGTGGTTCTCATTCCTAGAGAAGTCTCCCTTATGCTGACAGGCACATTGTGTCACCTGCCAGCCTCTCCCTAGAAGAGATGAGAAACCAAGACCCCATAGCCGCTCCACTCCCAGAGACAGAGGAGGCCTGTTGCAATCCTCTCTGATTTGCTCAAAGACCAGTCCCCAGTTAGTTKGAGCCTGGGTATTACTGAGCCAGGCCTGGTCATGTGGGCTGCTGGGTGACCATACCTCCGAGGTACGGTGGCCCAGCCTTTGGTGGGTAGCCCCCTGCTTTCCTCCTCCCTCCCCCTGCCATCTCCTCCCTACTTGGTATCTTCCAACTGCTCCTGTGGGTTGCTAGGATCTTCTCCCATGGGCCCAAATAAGGAGTGTGTTTCATTGCCACTTGGTCAGGTTGTCCCAAACTAGGAGTAGAGCAGTGCCAAGCAGGGCGGGAGCGCCTCCAGTGTTGAAGGATCGTGTTCCTTCCCCCTGTTGTGTGGTTGAAGGGCAGCGTCTCAGCTGAGCTTGGGAGGCTCCTCTCGAGCTCGGCTTACTGCCAAGCCTCATCCCTCCGCAGATGACGACAAAACTGCCCTTAGTTTCCACTGCTCCCCYCGCTGCCCTTCTCATTGCCCAACACGTGCACAATCTTGAGGCCTGGTCCACAGGTGTTCCTAAGGAAAGTGGCTTCTCATTTAGCTAGACATGACAGAACCATCCCAAACAGGCACCTGACCACGTGTTTTTGAAGATTACACCACTCTGAGCGTGTGGGTAGCAGTTAAAACCCCCAAAAGTCACCCTCCATGACAGATGAGGACACGAGACTGGTTTTGGACATCCATGGGAGACAGTTTGTCCTTACAGTCACTGTACCGGGGGCAAGGGTTTACAGCGGAAGACACCTACCCCAGGCTGAGAGGCACTAGGGTCCTCATCCCACTACGTGGTCCCCTTTGTCCTGTCCAAGGCTCAGCCCATTGTCTATGTGCRGAGCACAAAGAGGGTTGGAAGGAAATGCTACCCAGGGGCCCTTTCAGGCCATGGGCTCTAATGCTTCATCATGTCCCTGAGTCTGGATTCAGTTCCCGTGGAGAAGATGCTTTCAAACAAGTCTACAAAGCATTCACCCAAGGACTCAGTGTCACTCACACCTTAGCACGTGCACTTAGYGTCTGTACAATAAAATGGAGGTTGTGGGTGGTGTCAGTGAAGGAGGCTTCTGGAGTTTTCAGTTAAACTGCCACGGACCTTCATTAAATGCCAACGTCTCTTTTCTTAGGCAAATTCTCGTGACTGAGAATGATGTTTTGTGGTATCCTTACAGCCTGTGATGGTCAGTGGAGTGTTAAGACAGTGAAATGCTCGAGGCGGCTAGTCTATGAGGAGAAAAGCCCATATTTAGCCCCAGGTTCTGCCAGCTGCAGGCCTTGGACCCAAGTCTCCGGACCTCTGTTGAGGGTGGCACATCACGCCAGGAGCATATGTTGGAGCAAATCGTTGATGTCCCCAGCCCAGAATGAGAGACATGATGGGCCAGGGTCCCACAGTCCCCCTCCAGGCCATGCATGCTTCAGTGACCCAAAGACCTCCCAATGGTGCTGCACTGGGACTGAGCCTTTGACACACAGGCCCTTGGGGGACATTTAACATCCAAATACTAGCGCTAGCTTCTGGAGGACTTGGCTGAGGACTCATAAAGGGATTGGGCCCTTGGGTGGGAGGGAGGTGAAAGTGAAGAACTGGACTGGGGAACCCACACCTCTGGCCTTCAACAAAGAGCCAGTGTTTATTTTTTTTTTATTTTTTTTTTAAAGAGAGAGGGAGAGAGGAGAGAGAGAGAGAGAGAGAATTTTTAATATTTATTTTTTAGTTCTCGGCAGACACAACATCTTTGTTGGTATGTGGTGCTGAGGATCGAACCCAGGCCGCACAACATGCCAGGCGAGCGCGCTACCGCTTGAGCCACATCCCCAGCCCGAGCCAGTGTTTATTTGATTTGATGTAGACACCCTGGTGTCCTGTGGCTTCTGTAGGACCCTTAGGTAACCATCACCTGTTTTAAGTCACAAAGTATCTGCTGAGATTAGCAGTGCAAGACACCAGGCTCCTCTCAGTCCTGAGGAGGAATCATCGCTCACAGTGCCGGCTGCTCCTTGAGGAGCAGCATCCCTGCACTCCCCTCAGCAGTCTGGCCCACAGGTTCAGCTCCAGACCTTCAGCCACCACTCGGACAGTCTCTGGGCCTCAGCATGCACAAGCCCCTTTCAGTGCTCCTAAGGCCCCCAGGCGCCAGACTGGGCACCACTGGATCCCTGGGACTGTCCTCTGAGCTCCCTGAGAGCTCCCTGCCCTTGCCCTGCCCATGCTGTCCTCTCATCTGGGAATGCCCTTCTCTACTCAGGGCACTCAGCTTTGTGAGCAGCTGCGTATTAGTGAAGACCTTTTGGCTGATATCACAGACAAAACTCAGAACTTGAATGGCCAAACACAAGTTTGTGTTTTGTGTACAAAATTCTTTTTTTTTTTTTTTTTTTTGGTCCCAGGGATTGAAACCAGGGGTACTTAAACACCAAACCACATCCCCCCAGCCCTTTTTTTTATATATTTTATTAGAGACGTGGTCTCACTGAGTTGCTTAGGGCCTCGCTAAGTTGCTGAGGCTGGGTTTGAACCCTTGATCCTCCTGCCTCAGCCTCCTGAGTCACTGGGATTATAGGCGTGCACCCCCAGCTCTGCTCTCAGGTGACCCAGGGATCCAGACTGCTTCCATCCTATGTTTTGTTGATTGAAAGGAGGAAGAAAGCATGGAAATGCATACTGGCTCTCAAATGCCAGGTGGGAGGGATGTGGAAGTGAAGAACTGGACTGGGGAAATGACCAAATGACACTGTCACTCTTGTCTCAATGGCAAGGAAATGTCACATGTCCCTTCCTATCTACGAGCCGGTGGACAGGAGTGTTGCCCCATGCCCAGGAAGGAGAGAGGATATGGCTGGGAACTTGAACTCTCTGCCCACATCTGTTAGAGAGTAGGAGCTCAGCYGGGAGCAAACACTGTCCTTGATAGGCCACCACACTCATTTTTTTTTTTTTTTTTGGGAGCAGTTTCTGAGAAGACCAGATTTGCCTTGAAGTTTTAGGTGCCTGCTGTGGCTGATGACTTCAGTCCAACAGTATCCCATGGAATTGAAGAGGATCACGTCAAAGCTACCAGATAGGGTTCCCCTTCTTCACCCCACAGGACATTTCTGCACTTGCCCCTGCAGTACCATCCTCTCAGTAGGCTGAGGGTTACCCCTTTCGTCTGATGCAGGGTAAAATCTTAACCACTGAGCCTCTGCCACCCTCCACGTGGCCATTCTTGCCTGAACACCTGGACAGGTCCATTAGTCACACTGAAGCCAGCATTTTCCTGTGAAGCCAGTGCCAGACAGGTGGTAATAGGATGGTGAATTGCTTTCTCTTTGTGTATATGCGATAAATTTTGAGCTAGCAGGTGGGCATGGGGGGTGCACACCCACAATCCTAGGGACATGGGAGGCTGAGGAAGGAGGACAGCGAGTTTGAGGCCAGCCTGGGAAATAGTGAGACCCCGCCTCAGAATAAAATCAGACAAGGGCAAGGGATCTAGCTCAGTGCTTGGCTAGTGTGAGTGAGGCCCTGGGTTCAGTCCCTGTGCCAGGGATTGAACAAATTTCAGCCAGCATCTCCACCAAGGAAGCACTTTCAGCTCCTAAGAGGATTCCAGGGTCTCCAGAGTTCAGATGCATTAGATGCTTGCTCCTGATCTGCACTTTCAGGGAGATGTTAGGTACCGACCACTTAAAGAAGCCCATCTGTTTGTGTTCACTTCCYAGACAAGTGTCAAACAAGAAGCTCACTAAAATCCCACTGCCAATATCCAAGTGGCCTCCAAGGGCCTCCCTCCACCCTCAGGGTTATATCTCAAAGACCAACGGATAATGGGCCAAGTCAAAGTCTACGTGAAGTGCACTGGGAAATCAAAGAACACGCTAACTCCCTGGTAGGGATTGCTGGTGGGTCTAAGACCACCGTCCCTAGACAACTGTTCTGACCAAGGGGCTGTGGCTATCAGACAGGAGTCGGGGTGAGATGTGGGAGAGCCAGGGGACTTCTGCAGGCAGTAAGAATGCTGTGGGTCACATGACACAGGCTCCAGAGGAGGCAGCAGGGAAGGGCTGGGTAGCAGTCCAGGTACCAGAGAGTTGGCACATGGGCACATGGGGGACAACAAGGGAAATGGTGACTGTAATGAGGGAAACTACTGGAGCTGGGCAATCAGCTCTCAAGGAACCAACCGTAAAGAACCCCACCTTCTCTGGAATTGCTGTCATTTATGTACTAATTTAGGTACCAAGGATTGAATCCAGGGGTGCTTAACCACGGAGCCACAACCCCAGCCCATTTATTTTATTTTATTTCATTTCATTTTTTGAGACAGGGTCTCACTAACTTGCTTAGAGCTTCGGTAAATTGCTGAGGCTGGCTTTGAACTGGCAATCCTCCTGCCTCAGCTCCGCAAGTCACTGAGATTTCAGACAGGCTTGTGCTAGGATTGCTTTTTAGTATTTTGGCCTCCCCTAGGGTCTTTCTTATGGGTCACCAGAGGGACATTATGCAGTGCTGAGAAATTATTACTAAGCCAGAAGTTCACCCTCAGCCTGGGAGTCCTGGGAAAATCGTGGGCTCAAGATGAATTCAGACCAAGGGTCTCTTTGCAGCCCCGTCACTAACCAGCTTCTCCTGTCAGAAGTCYCCCGCCAGTCAGCCTCCAGGTCTTCTTCTGCCCAGGGAGACTGAGGAGACCTGCCCAGTAGGACAGGTTTTGGGACATGGGTACAGAATGGAAAGCTCCCGGGCTGGTGCCTGGCCTGGAAAGGAACGGTAGTGAGTGGCAGAGAGCTGCAGTTCCTAATAGTCCTGGATCCCAGCCTCTACCACTCCGGGGCATCCTTGGCATTGGTTGTCACCAGCACACACTGGAAATTATGCAGCTTAGTTCCATATGGAATGCCCCATCAGCCAAAGCGGAAGCTCCCTGACTCAAATGCAGTAAACATTTCCTCTGGGTGAACATATTGCAAAACGTGGGCGTARAGGAGTCTTCCCCACTGGGAGGATGTTAGGATTTGAGTCAGGACTCACTCCTACCCTCCCAGAGTCTGTTCCATCCAAACCACGATTTCCATTCATTCCATCGCCATGCAAAACCAACTGCTTGGTTACAATGGGTGGAATTACACTGGTACCCTAATTAAAACACCACTTTACTGCAGAGGCAGCTCTGGCTCTCCCAACCAAGCAGAGGAGGTCCTGGCCAGGGACTTCTAGGCCTCACTTCTTTAGACATTCAGTCTTCTCTCTCTACAGATCCTTGCAGTTGATGGTAACTGAGCACCAAGCTCTCCTGTTGTGTTCAACCACACAGCACCTCTCACACCTGCCCCAGGTGGAGATTCTGCTCTGCTCCATTCACCATCAAAGGGAACGACTCAGAGTAGTCTTCCATTCTCTCAGCCCTAAGACACACCATCTAAAGGTCTGGCCCTGGCCTCCATGCAGTGTCCTTGAAGTGCAACCCGCAGAAGGCACTGCAGTTTCCCCAAGCCCCAAACTGCCTTGGCTGGCATAGGACATTGGCACTCGGCTGCTCTACACTGGAGGTCCACCTGCTCACCCTCCTTCACATGTTCTTTGGGTCTCTGGGGACACCTCACCGTCTTCCTGACATGGTTGCTGTATTAACATTCAACGATGGGATTCAGTCTGGCTAAGCCTACGGTCTGATTATTCCCACTACTCATTCTCTCTCTTTTAGAAGAGCAGAATTGCACGAACGTTCCATGAATCAATGAGGCAGTGAGGAGAGGGCCTTTTCRTTAGCATGTAGCTTCTCCTCCGTTCTCCAGTACACACAAGCAAATCCAGGTGCACACCAACTTTCTTAAGGATACAGGGAAGACAGGTAATAAGGGAAGGCGAGCATTCACCTTTGATTTCTCTATCATTTATTCATTCTTTTTCATGACC